CCTCTTCCCCTGGGCTCCAGCCAAGCCGACCTTGAGCAACCTCGTAATTGAGTCGAAGGGAAGCCCCTTCCCTTTGATCCCTCCCCCGCCGGGAGGGGGGGGGGGTAGCGACCCCCCCCCCGGGTCAGATACGACGCCCCCCCCTGGGACTCCTCTTCCCCTGGGCTCCAGCCAAGCCGACCTTGAGCAACCTCGTAATTGAGTCGAAGGGAAGCCCCTTCCCTTTGATCCCCCCCCGCCGGGAGGGGGGGGGGGGTGGCGACCCCCCCCCCGGGTCAGATACGACGCCCCCCCCTGGGACTCCTCTTCCCCTGGGCTCCAGCCAAGCCGACCTTGAGCAACCTCGTAATCTCTTGCTGCGCATTGCGAACAGGGTCGGCGGCACCGGCCGTCAGGCCTTCGCAATATTGATAGAGACGTAGAAACAGATATGGAGATCAATGGTGAGAATGATAAACAGATACTGAAACCGATTGTGAATCAGTGCGGTCCATCGTGAGACCGATAGATCGGCAGCGAGCCCGGTAGTGAGATCGATACACAGATAGTGAGATCGATAATGGAATCGATAGCGGAATCGATTGTGAGATCGATAGTGAGACCGATAGGGCAATCGATAAAGAAATAGTGTGATCGATAGCGGGACACTGAGGCCGATTAGGGAGATCGAGAAAGGATTGGTGGACAGATGGACCACAATGATGTCCCGATGGTGTCCCGATGGCGTTCCAAAGGTGGCACTCATGTCTCCAAGGTGTCCCAATGGTGTCCCATCGCAGTTACCTTCAGCTGGTTCCCCCCACAACCTCTTTCTCATAACTCAACACCCCCTACAACACCAGGTCGAAAGAATAATAATAATAACAATCCGCCGGTCCACTTGGGGGGAGCCAACAGATGCGAGGCGTAGGTATTCCTGCTCCTGTAACAATTCAAGTTCCAAGCGTTACGATTACAATCCAACCGTCCAACGTGCTCAGCACTACATTTTCCTGGGGGCCGGCACTCGGACATCGAGCGAAAGGCCTGGGCGGTGGCAAACCGCACAGCTGACCGTCTCGTCTCGGGCTGAGACGGCCTTCTGTACACACATTTGGAAAGGAACCACGGGGCCCCGCGCGCACAGGAGGCACGAGCACGAAGCGGCTGAACAACTGTAAGTTGTGAGTGCAAAGGGAATAAGAAGAAAGGAGAGGGAGGAAGAAGGGGGGACAGGGGCGAGAAAAATGCTGCAGAAGCACTACCGCGAGGGTGAAAGGATGCAAGCACAGTACACAGCCCAACTGTCCAACGCGCTTCAGCCTCGGCGGAATGAGCGAAAGTTCAGCACTACATTTTCCTGGAGGCCGACGCTCGGACATCGAGCGAAAGGCCTGGGCGGCGGCATACCGCACAGCTGGCCGTCTCGTCTCGGACTGAAACGGCCCTCTATACACCAGCGCTCGTAGGCCTGCGCTTGAGACGGCCCCTCGGGAGGACCCCAAGCCCCTCGCGGCGCGCGCTCAGGAGCCTCCAGCTGAAGGTCGCCTTCAGGGCAGCAGCGCGGCCCAGGAGGTCATCATTCACTGCGCTCAGCGACCGCGCCAGGGTCGCGGGCTTTCCATAGATCCGACACGACTCCAAAGAGGCACAGCGGCCACGCACTTGCACGTCTTCATTCTTCACCTTGTGCACAACAGCATCGTGGGATGGGCCAGCGCGCCGAAGCCCATGCGGGACCACACGGAAGCTGAGCGCGGCAGATGCGGCTCGTTACTCCTTCTCGAAGTCGGCCAGCTTGAGCGCGCGGAACACCCGCTCGCTCGGCCGGAGGCCCGCCACCAGGACTTCCAGCACGTCGCAGACCCACTGTCGGTCGCGGGCGCCCACCAGCACGCTGGCGTCGAAGCGGCGATTCTCCGCAGGCTTGGCGTCGAACCCCGCAGGCGCTACGTTCATGGCCCACCCCTGCGCCGTGGCGCCTCGACGCGGCCGCCCGACAGCGCCCGCGGCGAGGTCGAGGCCCTCCGACGGCCGGAAGCAGCAGTCGAAGCTGACAGCCCCGCAGGCGGCCATGAGGGCCATGCGCAGACAGTCCTCGCCCACCGCCCTGCCCAGGAAATAATCGAGGACGAGCAGCGCGAGCTCGACGGCGGGCGGGTCGCGACAGTGCTCTGGCGACGACCGCGCGAAGGCCAGGATGGAGAGCCGGGTCTTGGGCAACAGGTCAGGTGAGCGCCGCGGCCAGTCTTTGACAAAGGCGACCCCGTGGAAAGCGCACCTCGCGGCGGTGACCGCGTCGCCCGCGCGGTAGAGGCCTTCGATGTAGTCCACCATGATGCGGTCCCAGGCGTCGCAGTTGCCCTTCCTCAGCAGCTGTCCGACAGCGCGGGCTACCGCGGCGCAGCGCTGCCCATGCCTCTTGCGGGTCGCGGATGTGACCACCAGCTTGCGCAGGAACCCGGGCTCCTTGACGTTGCGACGCCGGGCTCGCCGCCCACGGCGTCGCTGTCGCTCGCTAGCACCGGTGCTGCTCAAGGATGCCGAGCTCGGCGGCGAGGTCGAGCCCGCACCGGCGCTGGCCCGCCCCCTCCCACGCGAGCCGCGCGCGTCGCGGGACCGCGGGGAGCGCCAGACACCGTCGGCCGCCGTCGGGGCCGACCGCCCTGAGAAGGTCGGTCTCGCAGCAGGCCTCCAGACAAGACCGGCCGGGAAAGCGCCGCGCTCGCGTCGGAGCGGCATCCCACAGTAACCCCGCCACGGCCCTGCATAGAGCAGGAGGGCGCGCAGCAGCTAGAGACGCCCGCCACCGCCAGACCCACGAAGGGCGGCGCACTTTGCCTCGGAGGACGACGCGCTGTTGGCAACCAGGGCAGCGCCGCGCCACGGACCCGAAGCGCTCGACGTTGCAGGCGAGCCCGGTCGGCCACGCGGCCCCGTAGGCGCACTTGTCAACCAGGTAGGGCTCGCAGTTGAGTCGGCGGAGCTGTCGCGCCAGCGGCTGCCACTGCAAGAGCCGCGACGCCCACGGGTTCTCCAGCACCACGCGCATGCCACGCCGAGCACAAGCATCCAGCACGCGCACGGTGAACCGCGCGCAGGCAAGCCCAGCGCAGCCGACGGCTCCTTCGCGCTGGGCGTGCCTGGCAGTGCTCCAGCGGGCGCAAGGCGTGCCCAGCGCGACGGACAACGCCAGCCAGTTCTCGATCCAGCCGACGATGACGTCCGCGACCTCCCGGCGGCTGACGTGGAAGTGCGGCCCGAGCTCGAGGTAGACCAGCGCGGCCACGGCGAGGCCGAGCGCGGCGACGCAGGCGGTGAGCCGCATGCAGCCTGCGAAGACCTCTAGGAGATACTGCTGCTGCGGAGGCGGCCGCCGATCGCAGGGCCCCCGCGGCTGCTCATCCCGGCGGCGTCGGGCAGGGGGCAGCCGCTCCAGCGGGTCGGCGGCAGGGGCGGCGAGGGCCAGGCTCGGCGGCGCCGGGGCTTGCTCCGCGGCGAGCAAGGCGCCTCGCGGCCGCCCGGCGCCCAGCTGGCGAGCCGCCGCCCCGCGCCGAACCTCGCCCGGTCGAAGATGGGGAAGCCGACTGCCGTGGTCACTCGGGTTGCGGTGCGTCTCGATGCGCCGCCGCGCCCAGAGAACGTTGCTCGCCACTTGCCAGGCCGCCCCGCGTCGGACCAGCGCCAGCAGGTCCCACGTGCGCGACCTCCCCCGCCCCGTCGCCAAGACCTCCGACACGCTGTCACCCAGGGGCCAGGAGGACCGTGGAGTGGTGGCCTGGGTCGACGCAGTACTCCTCGAGCCCCGCGAGCTCAGCACGGGCCTCAAGGTTGTGGATCTTGTCGGGCCGCTTCCACTTGCCGACGAGGAGGAGGAGGAGGAGGAGGAGGAGGAGGAGGAGGAGGAGGAGGAGGAGGGGGAGGGGGAGGAGGAGAGGAGGAGGAGGAGGAAGGAGGAAGGAGGGGAGGAGGAGGAGGAGGAGGAGAGGAGGAGGAGGAGGAGGAGGGGGAGGAGGAGGAGGAGGAGGAGGACGACGACGACGACCACCGCTTCCCAGCGCCTTGGATCCCCCCAGGAAGCACTGAGGGTCGGCACGCGGCCCACGTCCTCCACGAGCGGCTGGCGCTCGGGCACGGAGGCGGGCCCTCGCGTCGGCGACGTCACGCGGCAGGTGCTCACGGTGCTCTCCGTACCCGCCCTCGTCGTCTTCAGCCGTACCCCCTTGGAGGTACACCTTCCTTGCCTGTCACGTGCATTTAGTGCAGCCCATGAAACAAGGGAAGAGAGGACGGGTGGAAGGGGAAGGGAGAAGAACAGGGCACGAGACAAATTAGCAGGAGGGGGGCAAGGAGCACAAAACGAGTGGCAGAACCAGACGGGCGGATAGGGTGGGCAGACCCATAGAGGGCAGGTCGGGAAGACGGGCCCGAGCGACGAGGTCGAGCAGGCGGGTTGCTGAAGCCTGCATGAATCGCGAGGAACTCTCGAGCGATAGCGCGATTCCCGAGCAAATCGCGAGAAAAGCCAAAGCGAGAGCGTGATTCCTCAGCGACGAGGGCGCAGTCTGAATAAATTGCGAGGAAATCCCACGCGAGAGCGCGATGCGCACATGAATTGTGAAGAAGTCCCGCGCGAGAGCGCGATTTGGGAAGAAAGCGTGGGGAAGTCTCAGGCGGTAGCCGTTGTTGTTGTAACTCGGGGGCCAGCGGCCCAATTTGAGCCGAGTGACCTGCCCTGCTGACAATAAACCGGGTGTGAGCCCCGGGGGAAGCACTTCAATTGAAAAAAACACGATGGTCGCCGAAAGGGATCACAAGACTTATTGTCCAGCAACGAGAGTTCAACAACAACAACAACATCAACAACAACAGCAGCAACAACAACAACAACAACAGCAACAACAACAGCAACAACAACACTAACAACAACAGCAGCAACAGCAACAGCAACAGCAGCAGCAGCAGCATCAGCATCAGTGGCATCAGACTCGCAGTCATCTGCATCACCCTGGTCCCCCCGCCTTGCCGAAGAGCTCTTGCAGCACGTTGGCTCCCGCGGATGCGCTGCCCGCGGCTGCCCCGTCGGGCTGGCTCGGCAGGGCCTTCCGCAGGATAGCCTCCACCTCGGGGAGCAGGAGGCCCCCATCCTCCCTGAGAGGGAGGGCCTGAGGGAGAAACGAGGAGGGAGAAACATGGACAGGAGGAAGGCGAGGACGACGACGACAACGAAAGGGGAATGGACGAAGCCTGGGGTACGGGGGAGGAGCAGGGGAGATGGAGAGGAGAGGGGGAGGACGGGGGAAGGGGATAATCGGGGGAGAAAGGGAGGAGGAGGAGGAGGAGGGAGAACAGGAACAAGGAGGATAAAAAGCACCGTAGACGTAAAGAAATGTTAACAATCAGTAGCGCGAAGAAGAGTCCCCCTCGGCTTTCATTCCGTCTGAACCTCCTGTCTCCTCCTCCCTTCTCCTTGCATCCCTCCTAAGCCCTCTCCTTCTCCTCTTCCTCATCCTCCTCATCATCATCATCATCTTCATCTCTCCTCTCGTCTCCTCTCCTCTCCTCTCCTCCTCCTCCTCCTCCTCCTCCTCCTCCTCCTCCTCCTGCTTCTGTTCCTGCTCCTCCTCATCGTCCTCGTCCTCGTCCTCCTCCTCCTAATCCTGCTCCTCCTCATCCTGGTCCTCGCCATCATCATCAACATCATCAGCATCATCAGCATCATCATAATCAGCATCACCATCATCATAATCCTCCTCCTCCTCCTCATCGTCATCATCACCACCATCATCATCATCATCATCAGCAGCATCATGAGCAGCGTCATCAGCATCATCATCATCATCATTATCAGCATTATCAGCAGAAGCATAAATCATCAGAAGCATCATCATCATCAACAGCATCGTCATCAGCATAATCATCACCAGCAGCATCAGCATCAGCAGCATCAACATCAGCATCAGCGTCAGCATCAGCAGCACCAGCATCATCGTCGTCATCATCGTCCTCAAAATCAGCATCATCAGCATCACCATCAGCAGCATTAGCAGCATCACAATCATCAACAACAGCATCATCATCAAATCGAAATCAGCATCATCAGCAGTATCATCATCATCAACATCATCATCAGCAGCAGCATAAAGCATCATCATCATCAGCATCAGCATAATCATGTTCATCAGCACCACTGTCACCATCATCGTCATCATCATCAGTAGCATCATCATCAGTGGCAGCGTCATCATCATCATGATCATCACCCTCAGCAGCATCATCATCGGCATAATCACCATCATCACCATCATCATAAGCACCAGCATCCACATCATCATTATCATCATCATCATCATCATCATCATCATCATCATCATCATCAACAATATCGTCATCATCATTGTCAGAAGCATCATCATCAGCACCATCAGCATCAGCATCACCCTCATCGTCATCATCATCATCGCCATCATCATTGTTATGTTCATCATCATCATCATAATCATCATCATCATTATCATCATCATCATCATCAGCATCATCATCATCATCATTATAATCATCATCATCATCATCATCATCATCATCATCATCATCATCATCATCATCACCATCACCATCCCCATCCTCCTCCTCCTCCTCCTCCTCCTCCTCTTCCTCCTCCTCCTCCTCCTCCTCCGCCGCCTCCGCCTCCGCCTCCGCCTCCTCTGCATCCTCCTCCTCCTCCTCGTCCTCCTCTTCCTCCTTCTCCTCATCCTCCTCCTCCGCCTCCTCCTCCTCCTGCTCCTGTTCCTGCTCCTTCTCCTCCTCCTCCTCCTGTTCCTCCCTCCTCCTCCTCCTCCTCCTCCTCCTCCTCCTCCTCCTCCTCCTCCTCATGCTCCTCCTCTTCCTTCTCCTCCTCCTCCTCCTCCTCTTCCTCCTCCTCCTCCTCCTTCTCCTCCTCCATTCCTTGTCCTTGTGAATACTTCCTCTTTGTCGCACCCCGAGGCTGGTCGGAAGGGTGGGCCGGGCGTCTCGCCTCAGACGTCCTCGCCACCGGAAACCCTGAAGCTTAAGAACCGCCAGCAGGTTCACAAATGCCGGGCGGGTGGTTTTCAAAATGTGGCTCTCGCCCCAGCGTCGCGCACACTCGTGTGACAAATCGCAGCAAGAGTTTCACGGATGCAGTCGTAAGCCCTCATCTCGTCCTCGACATCGCTGTGGTCGGAAAATCGATGCCGACATCTAACACAACATGGGCCACGGAATCGCGCATGAACGAGCTGCGCGTGAGGAAAATTGGTGACTGTGTTCCCGCAGAGGGAAGGTCGAGTGCGGGGAATTCAACGTACTCAACGTTTTCTCGGCATCACCCTTCCCCTTTTCCCCTTCGTACACGGATTCTGAAAGTGACTGTCACTAGTAGTAGTGGAAGAAGATGCTATGCAACAGGTTCGGTAGTGGCTCACTATCGCACCTGTTGCATAGCATCCTCTTCCCAGAGCGGTCCATGGGGTTCAATGTTCGGCCCTTTCCCTTGCCAGTAGAATGGCATCGGCTCCGACCTTTCCCCATAAAGATTTTGTTCGTAGTCGGTATCCGTTCAGGACGCAATAAAAATAGCACAACCACGACACTTGAACCGTCGGTTGTGGCGCTCAACCTTGCCACGCCCCTTACCCCCGTCTGTGAAAGACTTTGCTGGCTGCCCGACGGACCCGTCGGATATGGTTTTGAAGAACAGTCGCCATCGACGCATGCTGAGAACCCAAAAAAGTTGTCAGCGGTCTTCGCGTCTCCTAGCCCTCTGAGTATGTCTGTCATGTCTGAGGGCTCGACTCATTCCGAGAATACTGTGTTTGCGTTGGTCCCAGAATCGGCGGGCGAGTTCCCGTTAGAGGCTGAGCCCCAAAGGGCGGTCGAACTGTCCGGTGCAGTGTAGGAGGCAGGATCAGTAGGCTGTCCCCAGCCTTGGTGTGACGATGATGATGATGATGATGATGATGATGATGATGATGGTGATGATGATGGTGATGGTGATGATGGTGATGATGCATGACTTCTGCCAGCTCCCTTGCCAGCTACTAGCCGCAGTTGTTTCCGGGCTGTGTGGGTCGTCAGCCCAGACGTTGGTAAGCGCGGTCTGATCTCTGCCGGCGGTGGCCACGTATGCATTTGCGTTCCCGCGCCCGCCGCCTCCCACCAGCACGTGCCCGATGTTGCCGGGTGCGTGCTCGGCTGAGCGGCCGAAGCTGCGCATGCGGTCCAGCAGCTCGGCACACTGCTGCCGTGTGCGTGGCATTTGGCCATGCTGTGGTCGAAGTGGCTGAGCAGCTCTGCCAGGGCCGAACCGCAACGCTCTGAAGAGCAGTGTGGCGAGCAACTGAAAGTTCGGGGTGGCAAAGCCTACGGAATCGGCGTCAAGACGGGGGATCTCGAAGCGAGCGCGGATTGAATCGTTCTCTCGCCCGGTTCGGGCCTCAAGTCGATGAGCGCAGTTCCTCAGGCGAGTTGGCGCTCATCCTCTAGATTCTCGGACTTGGCGCTAATGAGAAGCACGCTGTCTTGTATATAGGGAAACGAACTCTATACACCGACGCTTTTTCCGACCCTGCGCCGAAATGCGCACAGGAACGCGGATCTTGGTGCATACGGGATCCTGGTGTATACATGTTTCGCTGCTTCCCTTGAAGAAACGGGGGAGATGTATACAGCACACCACCCCGACGTCGTCCCCGACGACGTCAAAAAAGTCCTGAGATTGAAAAACCGCTCGCCACTGGTACTGTATATTTTTTCCGATGATGACACAGCAGCTGAGGGCCCCTTAAACGCGACCCGGGGGCGAGGAGCCACCGAGACTTTCGGCGACAGCCGAACGCCTTATGTACACTATGGTACCAGTCCTCTACTCAAAAGCGTTCTGACAGAGCCTGCTGAATACGACATCGTTACAGTACCCCGAAGCAAAAATTTGAAATGGCCCCGGACTCGGGATCCTGGCGGAGGGTCGCCACTGGTACTGTAGATGCTCCAGTTTCCGAGTACAGTCCCCCTTTCGTCGAGAGAGCGCGCCCGTGGTACCCTCCCAGAGACGGGGGGTCCCCCCTTTAGCTGCCCCCCCCCTTGGACCTCCCCTGCCGGAAGCACCCCCCCCTCCTCTTGCTGCGCCCCTCGGAAGCGAAAGCCCCCCTCCTCTTCGCGCTCAGGAACCTCCTCCTCCTCTCCTCCTCCTCCTCCTCCTCCTCCTCCTCTCCTCCTCCTCCTCCTCCTCCTCCTCCTCCTCCTCCTCCTCCTCCTCCTCCTCCTCCTCCTCCTCCTCCCATCATTTACATGAGGGCGTCAATCGCCACCGGAGGGGGCCGAGGACTCCTCTCGGGACCCTCGGCCAACGAAGACGGCCCTAGAGGAGGGTGCAACGTAAGTCCACACCTTGACAACTTCCCATGATGGCGTCAACTGCCACCCCGCGGTTGTCCCCCTCATGGGCTAAAGGGGGAGGGGCTTGGAAGCCAACTCCCCTTCGGCTGAAAGGAAAGAGCGCCGACGACCAGAAGGGCGCCGAAAACCAACAGAGCGCCGAAAACCAAGGAGCCACCGAAAAACAAAAGGGCGCGAAAACCAGAGGCGCGCGGGAAACCGAAGCAACGGCGAAAATCGAAAGGCGCCGAAAACCGAAGGTGCGCCAAAAACCAACAGGGCGCCGAAAACCAAAGGAGCGCCGAAAACCAAAGGAGCGCCGAAAACCAAAAGGGCGCCGGAAACCGGAAGGGCGCTGACAACCGAAAGGGGGCCGAAAACTTAAGGAGTGCCAGAAACCAAAACAACGCCGAAAAGCAAAGGCACCGAAAACCAACAGGCGCCGAAAACCAAACGAATGCCGAAAACCAAAGGGGCGCAGAAAACCAAAAAGAACTTCGAAAACCAGCGGGGCACCGAAAACCAAAGAGAACCCGAAAGAGCGCCGACAACCAGAGCAGCGCCGAAAACCAAAAGGCGCCGAAAACCAAAGAGCACCGAAACCCAGAAGGGCGCCAAAAACTTAAAGGGTCGCCGAACTTAAAAAGGACGCCGAAACCAAAGGGGTGCCGAAAACCAATTTGGCGCCGACAACCAAAGGGTCACCAACCACCAAAAGGGCACCGAAAACCAAAGAGGTGCCGAAAACCAAAGGACGCCGAAAACCACAAGTGCGGAGAAAACCAACGAGGCTTCGAAAATCAAAGGAGCACCGAAACCCAAAGGGGCGCCCAAAACCAAAGGAGCACCGAAACCCGAAAATGCGCCGAAAACCAAAGAGGCAAGGAAAAAAACAAGGGTGCGCAGAAAAGCACAAGGAGTACGAAAATCCCCAAAGAGCCGAACACAAAAAGGAGCGCCGAAAACAAAAAGAGCGCCAAAAACCAAAAGGGCGCCGAAATGCAAAAAGACACCGAAAACTCCAGAAGATCCTCCAGGAGAGCCCGAAGAGGCAAAAAGTGTTGTTTGTCCTTCGATGTTTGAAGGAATTTGAATATGTTCGGTCTTCCGACGGCCCAACGTAGCCCAAAAGCATCCCAATATCGCCCCAAGATGGTCCCAAAGGCCTCCAAGACGGCCCCAGGACGGCCCAAGAAGCCTCCAAGACGGCCCCGAAGAGGTCCTCAAGACGGCCCAAAAGGGCCTCCAAGACGCCCGTGATGGCCTCCAAGACGGCCCTGGAGCACGCCAAGAGGGCGCCAAATCGGTCCAGAGAGGCCCCCAAGACGGCTCCCGACGGCGTCACACGGGCCAGGAACGCCCTAAGACGGCCCAAGAGGCCCCCGAGAAGCCCCATGGTTAGTACTTAGTAGTAAGTAGTTAGTAGTCAGTAGTAAGTAGGTAGAAGTTAGTAGTTAGTAGTTAGTAGTTAGTAGTTAGTAGTTAGAAGTTAGTAGTTAGTAGTCGTAGTAGTAGTAGTAGTAGTAGTAGTAGTAGTAGTAGTAGTAGTAGTAGTAGTAGTAGTAGTAGTAGGAGTAGTAGTAGTAGTA